GAGCCTTTTATTAAGACTGGCAAATTCCATTGGTTATGTGAAATATGTGGGATTGGAAACCTCCACATTACACAGCCTGAATATCAGTATCTATTCAAATCAAATAGGACCTTTATCACAGAACACGCTCCAGCCTTTTCGCTTTGTATTCCCAGCACAGCACACATAAACACCGCTCACTTTCAATACATCTTCCACATCGCGAATAAAACCCACTGTATTCGTATATGCCTCGTCTGGGCATATACCAATAGATTGATACAGACGATTGGCGCGATGCCCTGCTGCACATCCCATCTGCCTGTATACACGCTTCTTATCTCCCCGCCGTGCCCCTGTCTGCACCTGCCCGCTCCCTTTGTGGCGATGGTGGCTGTTCAGTGGCATGTGGCGTGTCAAAATGGCTCCTCCACGCTTGAGGCACCTGTCACACTCGTCCTATAAAGTGATCAGACCTGCCCCGGCTCGGTTCAGGCTAAACAGGATTATAGTAAATGCCAGAGCCTGTATTCTCTGATACGAGCGTTTGTGGCGGGAGCAGATTGTGAGTTTAAAGGGAAGTTGTAAATGCACTTCTGGCCTCTCATAAGCACGGTGATGGGAATAGAAGCAGGGTCAGGAAGTGGGAGAGATAGTAGTAGTGGAAGTAGTAATATGTTGAACTACAGCTGTGTCCCATTTCTGATCACTGGCCTTTTCATTAGATACGCTCTTAAATAGGGGAGAGCTGTGTTCAATTTGAAGCTTTATTAGATCTCAAAATCTGCACAAAATACTTTTAATTTTGCTCTTTAATTGCATTTAACAGGTACCATAATACTGTTACTAAAAGGTGCATTTTGTAACTTTTTTGTCAGGTCTATTAAATGCTTTTCTCCATGGAGATATTATTCCTTTCTCTGGAATGCTTCACAGTATGGCATTAAACTTTTCTATCTTCATGAAGCCCAAACCAGACCAAGTTACAGGTCAGATCTGTGGAGAGACGACCCCGCTCAGAGTCAAAATGCCTGTTTTCTGTGTATTTTTGAGCTATAAACCATCTGTAACTGAATAAATATAAGGTAGAGCTGTTTAATGTCATACTGTGGAACATTCCAGGCATTAATGGCATATCCATAGAAACAAGCAGATGCTGGACCCCCGACTAAAAAGTTACACAGTGCACCTTTAAGTAGATTTTTCATGTGATACTTTTATATTTACTTTTTTTTATTATCTGTACTTTTAATTAAGTGACAAAATTGTGTACTTCTTTCATCACTTCCCATTTGCATATTAGCAAGTGCATTGTGTTTTTGTTGCTTTTTTTGTGTGCCAAATACTGTATGTGCACCAGCTTTAAATTCATATTAAAAGCATACACTTCTTAAATTGAAATGGTTTTGTAGTTTCTTTGTTACTTTTGTTTTCCCATCTGTCATGCTGAAAGCTGGTATTCAGACTGAGGTTGGAGACGAGAGGTACATCTCAACAAACTAAAGTAACAGTAAACATATTATGCAAAATTGACTCTTGTGAGCTTTAAAGGGTCCATTATTAATGCGATTTTCTATTCTGTTATGTTGTTTTCTCATCACAAACATACCTGGAGTTGTGTTTTGTTTCATTCACACAAGTTTAACACAGAAAACCTGCATATTTAGGTTGAGCTCCTCTCTCAAACTGAAAACACTCTGTTCTACCTTGTGATGTCATCTAGTAATACAGGAAATGCTCTGCTGATGTTTAGATGTTTAGAATCCAGAGGAACTGGACCTCTGCATCTGGTTGAGCCAAACAAAATATCGATCTCTGGTGGAGATTTAAAGCTGCACTATATAACTTTTTGGTTGGGAGTCACCTTCATGTTTCTATGGAAATGTCATTGCTTTGTCTGGCATGTTCCAGAGCATGACATTATACAGTTCTACCTTACATGTATTCAAGTACAGGTGGTTTTATAGCTCCAAAATACCTAGAAAATGTGACATTTTGACTGCAAGCGGGGTCGTCTCTTCACAGATCTGACCTGTAACTTGGTCTGGTTTGGTCTCCATGAAGACAGGTTCAGTACCATGCTGTGAAACATGCCAGACAAAGCAATAACATCTGCATGGAGACAAGCAGGTTACCTGATACATTTATCTACCTCTAATACCCAGAAGAACGAAAATCCAAAGAGGAGATCTCAATAAAATCTCATGGCTTTCTCCTAGACCATTTTGAGCATTGTTCAAGACCAGTGTGAGCAAATGGCTTATTGCTCCAGCTTCTAATGTTTTGCTCCAGAGAACCGGGCCGCTGAAGCGCTCAGGTTACACATTAAAGAAATCTCTATTTAGCCTTAACCAAATCTCAAACTTTCACTCTGTTTATTCTTCTGCTCACACTAACCTCAGACTAGGCTCTGTGTCGTTCTTCTCATCTGCAGCTCTACTTGAACTTTAAGTCAGTGTGGGTTTGGTGTGACTGGACTTGTGTTTCTGAACAGCTGAGCTCTGCAGTTTTCAGAGCAGCTGAAGAACACGTCTGTCAGGAACTCAACAAAATGTCTCCTACTATCAACAGTACGCTCATTTAAGTACTTCTACTGGAAAAAAGCAGGCCTGCCCTCAACTACAATAACAGTAAGTTATCTTTTGCTTGATTTAACCATTTTTAATGTGCATTTATGATAACTCTTGTTTCATTAGTGAGCTAACCATGCTACCATTTGCTCAGATGCACATGTCTTCATTTCATTTTGTGGCTATGGACAAAAACTGCATCATTTGGAATCACCTGCAGAATGCACTTGCACTCACACTCTGGACATTTCTCCTTGTAGCTCGCAGCTAGTTAGGTTCAAGCTAACAATGCTAACAACAATGCTACTGCTAGCTGCTAGCACTGTTGTTAGCACTCTTACCCTGAACCTAAAGTGCTGACCTGCACTTGATTTAACTGAGACTCTGGGACAGAAAATGCACTGGTGTGTACTTCGACTTCTGTGTGTCGGATTAGAGACACAGTTTGTGTTTCAATTAGCCTAAATGAGCAGGCCTCACAATAGAATTCCCTGCTTTTTGTGAAATGAGCTTTCTGTAAATTTTGTAATTTTTGTGTGTGTTCCTTTTCTGTATCCAAGCAGACAGCATAAAACGTTCATATTTTTTAATATTGTGTAGTATTAGATAAATAATGTATTTTTGTGAATTTATTTTTTATAGGAAATTGAAAAGTGCGCATTACATACGTCACGACCAAATAGCAGCGATCCAGTTAAATAAAAAAGTACCCACCTGCCATCGAGCGAACGAATGTGAAGTCAGACGGTTTCTAGGAGGTGAAACCGGCTGATGAATCAGACTAATACAAAGATGCTTGAATTGGTGAAATGTAAAAAAAAACAAAAAAAAAAAAAACATGTTCAGTTGAAGCGTACACATTTGTGTCTTTAATATTATCAATAAAAACCTTTTATGTTTTTATGTTTTTAGGACTATTTGATTTAAAATTTGAGCTGTTAAAAAGTTTTCTCCCCAGTGTCTGAAGTAAAACTAGTTTTTGTTGCCATTGCATATGTTAAAGCGGTTTCTCACAAGTGTCTCAAGTAGGACTCCTGTTTGTGTCTCCTCTGTTGCTCCTAGTGAATTTTAGGAGAAATAAACAAGACTCACACCAGACACATCCAGAACTATAATGAGACTACAATGAGAGTCTCAACTTTGTCTTCCAAGCTTAAAATAAGACATATTTGAGCTGCAAATTTTTCCTCTGGGTACTCTCAATAATTATTTTACTGACTGTGGGGACAAAGTGCCATGCCTAAGAGCACCACAACAGAACATGATTTAACTGACCTTCAGAGCCACTGTCAGCCCAGCCAGTGTCGCCCACAGTGCATTGGCAGTCTTGGATATTCAACTCCATTTTTAACTCACAGAGAACTATTAAAGCTTTGTGTACTTCTTGGTTGCGGACAGAGTTGTGTTAAAGGAAGTTAAAGGAATGCACCATGACCCGTAGGAAAACCACCATATTGTGCATATTTCCATTAATGAGTGGGATTTTACATTTATAAGTTATGGTTTAACATCCTGGGCCTCATGTATCCAGTACACATTAACTATTAATAACAAATAATGCAAATAATGTTGGCGCATGTAGAGCAACTGCATCTGCAACTTTATTTATAACACACTTTAAAAACATCACAGGTTGACCAAAGTGCTACAAAACATAACAATTAAAACAGTAAAAACAACATATAATATGTGGGAAAATTGTCCAAGGAAATATTGTTTTGTATTAGTGGATCCATTATATATCACTTTTAATATGACTTCACTTGTGTATATATATATATATATATATATATATATATATATATATATATATATATATATATATATATATATATATATATATATATATATATATATATATATATATATATCTTTACTTTCCACATTTCAGATACATACAAAAGACATGAAATATATGAAGCAAGATGCATGGAATTATGTAGCAAAGAAGAAACAATTAAACAACTCTACTATTTTTATATCATTAAAATATATACATTAAAATTTAAATATTTGTATCTAAATCCTCAAAATACCCACCCTTTTCGAAGAAAAAAAAAAAGTAGAGTTATTTAACTTTGTGAGTTCAAATTTTTGACAGATGTGTGTTTAAACAGCATCAAATATATGAAGCAAGATATATGGAATTATTTAGTCAAGAAAAAAGTTTAATAACTACTAAATATTATTCGACAAAGCAAAGAGTGACTAATTTGAAGATGTGAATATAAAACATACTAGTATATGTAAAAATATTGCTTTATTTAACTTTTTTCTTTTCTACATAATTCCATACACCTTACATACAATATATTGGATGTTTTTTGTATATATATGAAAAGTAGAAAGTAGTATAACATATAGAAAAAGAGTGAGTGAGAGGGTGAATCCAAACTTTTGAACAATGCATGTGTATGAAAAACAAAGAAAAACAGTAATATATTATCAAAATCAGTCTTTATAGCTTTATTACATTCAGTGTACATTCAAACATGAGGTCCTCAAATGCTACAGGAGCCAGTAACCGTCAGTCTGTGTCCAACCTTATCTCTAACTGACCACAGATGACGCACGGGGCTTAGATATTTACAGTTTCAGTCATAGCTTTCTAATGCAAATGAGTTTAGTAAAAGGAATAGCATAGGGAACCCTTTAAAGTGCGTATGACAGGTTTGGATGCTTCTGTAATGTTTTGCTTAAAGGTGCACTATGTAACTTTTCTGGTAGAGGGTCCGCTACCTGCTTAGTCTCCGTGGAAATGTTATTGCTGTGTCTGCAATGTTTCACAGTACGGTATTAAACTTTTCTATCTTCATGGAGACTAAACCAGACCAAGTTGCAGGTCAGATCTGTGGAGAGGCACCCTGTTTTTCTAGATATTTTTTAGTCACTTGTAATTTAATGTCATACTGTGGAACATTCCAGGCAGACCCTCAAAAAGACTGAAAAGTTACATAGTATACCTTTAATTTGATGGGATAATACTTGCTGTAAATATAGTTTAGATAGTTTAAACCAATCAAGAAGCAATTTGCGAAGAAAAGTTTAAAAATGTGTTGAAAATTTCCACATTGATGACATCACACTAGGGAGAATTCTATCCAACAGTTCGGCACAGTTCATACACATTTTCCCAATTCTTTAAACATTATTTCAACAACATAAAGGTGTTTTTTTATATATAATTCTATTTGTCAAATAATAGTTTCTGTGTACATTAGAGGAGGAGGGCCTAGTGCACCTCATAGTTGCTAGATAACTGTCACGGAATTCCCATGTCATGATTTCCAGGAAGTAAAATTTGCAAACTAACATATTGGGGTGAAAAATATAAAAAAAGTCCTTAGTCCATCCTGTCATATCCACTTAACATGCTGAGCTGGTAGTTTGGTAGTTTCTTGTAAACACCACACATTTACAATATAATTAAATAATTTGGTTACAAAGCAGTGGTCGTCAAACATCATCACAGACCTGATCAGGCCTCAAGTTACAATAAATAAATTCAGTCTTCAGCTATATATAAAAAATGACCAGCATTTTCAGAATATTTCACATGTAAAACCACCACTGAAACTTTGTGGTGAACTATTTATGTTATAGTTTCAAAATTACTGAATCATATTTGTGCTTTTAAGGGTATCCACAAGTATTAAACCAAAACTAGGTAGCATGCAGAGGCTTTGAGGAAGTATAATTCAATATAAGCTTCAATAGACTTCAAAGGTCCATATTACACTATTTTCTGATCTACGTTATAATGTTGTTTACTCGTCAAAAACATACCTGGAGTTCTGTTTTGTTTCATTTAGATGTTCTTCTCTCAAATGTAAAACATTTGTGATGTCATGTAGTAAAACATCAAGTGTCATTTTGTTTTTAAACTCCATACACCTTTGCTTGAATCATTTGGATCAGACATGTCAAACTCAGGCCTGGGAGCCAAATTTGGCCCATAATATAATTATATTTGGCCTGCGAGATCACATTAAATATGTATTAAAGCTGGCCCTAGAGACATTATTTATTTAAAATTTTGTTATTATTTTATATTACACTTATTCTGGATTCAGTGTTTAAGCAAAACAATTATTAAACATTAAATTTAATAAGAAAAGGATTAACATTACATATCTCGAAAGAAGAGAAAACATGCAGATGTTGCTGAAATTTTTCAATAAATATTTAGTTTGGCCCACGACTTAGTCCCGGTTTTTAATTTTGGCCCTCTGTGAATTTGTATTTGACACCCCTGATTTGAATGATTTCAGCCCTGGAATTGACTTTCTCTAGTGAACTAAATGTAAAACATAGCTGTTAACTTGAAAACTACCACTGCATGACATCGCAAGGTGGGACAGAGCACTTTGAGCATTGGAGATGTAGATAGACAAATAATAAAAGCTTACTCAAACATGTATGAATGAAACAAAACTCAACTCCAGATATGTTTTTGATGAGGCAATATTATTCCAACATGGCTTAAAGCTCACAGGAGTTTGTATAATACAGGACCGTTAACCAAAAAGAGCATACATTTCACCATAAGTTAAGAAAAATATAATTATATACATATTTCTGAACATGTCTCTTTTGAATCTTCATAGTCAAAAAAAGTGTCCACCCATGTTTAAAGTCCTGGTTTAGACCTGAAGTAGTCCTAGGTTCAACGCTTAATAAAACTTAGTACAAAAATATAAACATTAATTTCCGGGTCCCGTGGATCAAAGAACAATAAAGGAACCATAAATGCACTGAGAACAGCTGCTGGCCGCTCCTGCCCACGTTTTCAGATAGCGCTCATGGATTCCTGTTTGCGCTCCTTATCTTTATCACTGGTGCTGTTACTGCTGCTAATTTTCAAGACTCTGGGAACATGACAAGAGATGCAGTTTGGTAATGTTTTCCGAACCCCTTCCAAAACATTGCTAACTGAACCTCTCATAGCTGATGACGAGAAATAAAAAATGAACGGATCTAAACAGGCGTTGAAAGTGCTGCAGAGTAATGCCTGATCTCTCCACTCTGGATTCTTCCACTGGATAAACCCGACGATGTGCGAAACGTTGTACGGTCCGAAACATAACGCGAAAACTACGAGAGTCCCCAAGGCCATGCCAATCGCACGGAGACGCTTTCTTCGATTGATGTGCTGCAACGATGACAAAATTCGGATGAAGTTGATGTAACAATAGCTGGAGATAAAAAACGGGATACAAAACAGGACGATGCATAGTTCGAGGCGTACAGGGAGGAGGATTTCTAGCTGTTTTTTGGTGAAGTTCTGGTAGCAAACCTCGCGATTCCCTTTGACAAGATGATAATTAGCTGAAGTTGACGTGTTTAGGGAATCAGAACTGTTGTAGGAGCTCGCAAGGTGTGAAGTCTCCTGGCTTCCGATTAGAGGAATGATGATGACGATGCTCAAGTGAATAATTGAGAAGATCCAAAAAAAGATGCAAGCTGCTGTGGCGTAAATTGGCTTACGCTTCAACGAATGCTGGATTGGGAACGCCACTCCCAGATACCGCTCTACGCTGATCGCCGTCAGGAAAAAAGCGCTGGTGTAGATCGTAAGGTAGAAAATAAATCCTGAAAGCGGGCAGAGGACGTAGGGCAGTGTCCAAATCATATTGTTCGTGACTTCTTGCATCTTGAACGGCAGGAAGAGGAGGAAAAGCAAGTCCGAAATGGTCAAGTTGAGGAGGATAATGTCAATGGGCGTGGCTTTTTGGCGGACTTTTTTACTGAAGGTGTAGAAGGCGAGGATGTTGGCGGGGAAACCCAGCACGAAGGTGAGAACGTACACGGACAGGCACAGGCCCGTGTGGCAGTGCTGCAACATGGTGAATTTTAACTCCGAGAACGTCCAAGCAGAATCACACTATGCCCTTTAAGCTTGCATGGTGGTTCCGAAGGTGCGGTGGGGGTCTTGAACGGAGTTTTTAATGGGTTGGTGGCCTGGAACAAGGCAGTGGCGTGTTTTTTTCTGTTCTCCGCTGATAAACCAAAGCTGGCGGTCTCCTGGCGGGCTTTGAGCTCTGTAGATAAGAGAGAAAGGAAGGAGATTACAACAGGAAGCAAGGTATATCCAACAAGGCCATATCTCACATTGTTTAGACAGAGACAGGTAAATGGGACTGTGTGAATTCAGTGTATCTGGTTAAAAGTACATGTTAAAGGTCAGACTACTATATTACACAAAATTGATTCCTGTGTGGTTTAAGCCGTGTTACAATGTTGTTACTTAATCAAAAACATAAAGGGTGTTCTGTTTCATTCATACATGTTTGAGTCATTTTTTATTCTTAGGCTGTCTGCATCCTCAAAGCTCAAAACGGAAGCAGTAGTTTTCAAGTTAACACCTCCTTTTAGCTTTAGTTCAGTAGAGACTAGCAATTTTAGGGCTGAAATCAACCAAATGATTCTAGTGAGTGAAGTATATGGAGTTTAAAAACACAGTGGAGCACTTCCTGTATTATCAGGTATGCTTGTTATGAGGAAACAACATAATAACTGATCAGAAAATAGTGTAATTTGGCTCTTTTAATAAAGTATAGATTAACCTAAATGAATAAAATAAATGTTGGAAACCATAAGTAAAATAGTTAACATATTTGCAGTGGAGTTAACAATTTGGGGGCCCTAGGCGAACTTGAGTTTGGGGCCCTCACTATAATGCACTGTTTTTTTTTGTTTTTTTTTTTAATATTTATTGTCTGTTTTTCCCCATTGTTCTTGAGACACGTCTTTGAATTAGGGTGGATTGGAAACTTGTCTTATTAGTTAGGAAGCCCACTAGATAACCAGAGCTGAAAGTACTTTTATATTTTTTTCTAGTATAATTACAATTATGATTATGTTCAAATTAGGGTCAAGCTGACTAATCCATTCTAACGTGAAAAGGGGGGAATGCTTTGACAGTTAAAATAGATTTGACAATCAAATACTATTTAGATGGTGTTTTTTTTTTTTTTTTTTTTTTTTTTTTTAAAGTAAACTACTCTCATTTAATGTCATATTGAGAGAAAATCAAATTGCACTGAAGCCTTGACCATTAGTGGTAATGGCAAGGGCAATTGTTTGGGGCCCCTCCAGGTTCGGGGACCCTAAGCGGCTGCCTACTTTTGCCTAATAAGTAGTGCCGTCTCTGAATACTTGAAGCCATTTTTGTTGATAAATCTGCTAGCATATATAACACACATTTTATTTTATTTTTCATTGATTTATTTATTTGAATTAGGACAGTGCATACTAATAATTTGTCAGCAAACAGCTTCAACAGAAATATACTTCGTTCAAAACTTTTACAACTCTTATCATACAGTTAAAGAATAACCCAAAATTTCCCAGTTATGCAAAGAAGTTGTACACACAGTAAATACTGACCCCCCCAAAAGTACTGTGCCAGCTTTCATATATTAAAATTAATATCATGACAGGCCTATTACATGGTCAAATGAGTCATAAACCCAGCTGACTACCACCAATAAACATTATAAATCACTTTAACTGTATCTTTTGCAAATTTTATGACCGAAAACATTGCAAAAAAGGCTATCAAAACAAAATAATATTGACAATGCTAATCGCTAATTCCAGTTTAGCTGATGCTGTAGTTTGCATTGTTTACCTATATAATTTCTGTTTAATGTCTTCTCTCCAGCACTGTTGTCCTCTGCCATTATCTGTTAATGAGGAGTAAGTGCTGGATATTAAAATGTGTGGAACAGTTGTGCTTTTACAGCCCTCTCTGCAATGTTCTCCACTGATCATAAACATAATGAGTCCGAGGGCTATCAGTAACAGGCCTGGATCCTCATAACTGTTCTGTAATCTGCATGTGTACCAACTACAAACTGTCCCCGTGCATTTCTCTAAAGGAAAATTTTTTAAAATGTTAACACCGCTTAGTGTTAATGATCCAAATAACACTGGCTGGGCTTGCTAATTCAAATAGTGCTAAAACGCAAAACTGTTTTAAACTTTCACGAGCTGTTACCGAGTTGCAATGTCACGAGAAAACAAAAATGAAGGGGAGCAGCACAGGTGGAAGAGACCGCCAAGAATTGTACTCAAGTAAGAGAAATGTTACTTCCAAATAATATTACTCAGTAGAAACACCAAGTAGTGATCCAAGAAATTACTCAAGTAAGGGTAAAAAAAGTATTTGAAAATGTATTACTGTTGGCTAAAAAACAGAGTAAGTGAGAGCTTCAGGGTATCTTATTTCAAAGTCCACAGCAGATCAAGGACAAGGCTCAAAAGCAAACAAACAGTGAAGATGACCAAGCTTGTAGTATAAAAACATAAAACCGCCAAAATAGTCTAAGGAATTATAATAAAAGTCCTTTAATGATTACACAAGCAGTGTCTTGGTCAGGGCGTATCATCATGTGCCCCATATGCCTATGTAATCATTAAAGGACTTTTATTATAATCACAGGCAGTTTTGATACTACAAGCTCGGTCATCTTTACTGTATGTTAGTAACTGTTAGTACTTAACATCTGATTTATAATTTGAATTTAATGTAATCTGAAGGACAAAACATCAAAAAACACAAAAGTATTTACACAAAAAAACTAAATTATAACTGACAGAGCAGTGCAGGAAACACTAATGTTAAGACTGTCAACCTAAAGCTTATGTCACTTGTAGACTTATTCATAGTGGGAAATGGAACCAAAACTTTTATTCAAGTAAGAATAAAAGTATGATGCTAGAAAGGTACTCTGAAAAGTTAAAAAGTAAAGCTACAGTGCACTGAGTACTATCCACCTCTGGATCCAGTTACCATCACTCAAAAAATAACAGCTTTAAGTTTTATGTAACATTTTATGAATTCCCATATATTTTTATGTTTTTGAAAACAACAATTTTAAGTTGATTTACTTTAAATGGAAGTTGGTATTTTGAATTAGTTCATTTGTATCCTGATGTTATAATATAGTTTACAGAGTGTAACCATTAAACTTTGTATATTGTTATTTTTATTACTCATTCATAATTATTATTAACATCTCAGCTCTCGCACATGTGACTGTATGTTGTCCTGTTGAATAAATTAAATTAAATAAAAAAATTCTAATTTTCTTTTAAAATAGAAATTGTGGTTGAGCAATTATGCTAGAAAATTGGACTATGCAGCTTTCTTTGGATAACCCACCAGTTCAAAATCTGATTACTGATTAAACAATACTTTAATTGAAAGCTACAATTAAAATCAGCCCCATGAATAAAACATGAGTGTTGAAAAGCCCACAAAACTAAAAAGAAAAGGAAATATTAAACACATGAATGAACATTAGTTAAGCAGAAAATCTTACCTGCGAGGCTTGTTTGAATGGCAGTCAGCAGAAGTGAGTCTCTTATAGTGGTGAGAGGGTGGAACTTACAGGGGGAGTGTGATGAAACCAGAGAAAAGCCACAATATAAAGCAACGTCTTCACTTCCTCTCACTCTCCAGCACAAACCTATCTGCCTTATGGCATTTTGCACTTTACTATAACACTGGGTTTTACTTTGTGCTTTCCTTAGCCCCGCCCACATGTGATGTGATGTCTGTGCCACATTTATTTACATGGTAATCTCCCGTATCAGGGACAAATGATAAGATTATTATTAACGCACACCTGCACTGGCAATAGCCTATATTGTTTATCAGGGCCACAATGAATGAATAAATTGTGTGAGCTGGAAATTGGGTCAAATGAAAAAACTAATTGTTAAAGGGCCCAAATTACACTGTTTTCTGATCTATATTAGAATGTTGCTTCCTCATCACAAACATACTTGGAGTTGTATTTTGTTTCACTCATGGTTCAACTCAAAAAACCTGCATATTTAAAGTTAATCCTTTGCTCGAAAACACTCTGATCCACCTTGTGATGTCATGTGGTAATACAGGAATTACCCCACTGTGTTTTTAAACTCCATACACTTTCACTAGAACTACTTGGATAACTTCAACCCTGGTAATGTGGATCTCTATTGAATTAAAGGTAAAATGTAGCTGTTAGTTTGAGAACTACCACTTCATGACATCACAAGGTGGAACAGAGCATTTTGAGCTTTGGAGATGTAGACCGATGAGTAATAAAGGGTAATGTAATCATGTTTGAATGAAACAAAACACAACTTCAGGTATGTTTTGATAAGGTAACAATATTTTAACATGACTTGAAGCTCACAAGAGTCCTTTAAAACCAACTGTGAGTACTAAAGTGTCTAAAGTCGGTGCAGTAAATACGAGTCTGTCATCCCTACATTGTGAAAGAGTAAGAGTGTTACTTGTATCAGACCTGAGTCATGTGATTCCCGAAGAGCTCCACAGCTGGAGACACACACACCGCTGGAGTTTCCCTCAGATCTGATATCTCATATGTCATCAGGGAGGTGAGTTTTCCAGACGTTTTCGTTAAGACATTCTGTAATTCTGGCATCTTAAATCAAACTCGGGGCATTAAAAAAACTGTCAAATCTGCATTAAACTTATATTAAACTTCTTACATTGTGTTGTACCATATAGGCTTTTGTGCTGGTCATCTTTCTGCAGCTTGACTCAGCTAAAGCACTGATCTCTGTTGTGAACTGTGGAGTCACCCAAGTGCTAAATCCTCTGTCTAGTTTCTCACTTCTTGTTTTTGAAACGACTTCACGTGCATTATGGACCCAAAGCTTCCTCATAGTATTGCATCAAACTCTGGTTAGCCATGCAGATGAAAATTCTCTATATTATAATTAGTATCTTGATAAAAATAAATGCGAATGTGTGAAATATATAATTAAGTAGTTATTCTTTCTTGCATTCATGATTTTTTATTTTTTTTTCCCCTTAAATAGATTTTAAATACATTTCAGATCCTATGTTAACAGGGTTAGGCAAAATAAGTGTTAAACTTCAGCCTAAACCCCTTTGGCCTGTAGAGTAACTTTAGTATAATTAGAATAACTTCTGTGTTAAATCATTATAATATGATTAATGATTATGTTGATTGACTTAGCATGGCTAAAAGCTCACAAGAATCAATTTTGCATAATATAGGACCATTAAAACCAGTAGGTAATAAGTAATCCTCAAGCTATAAAGTAGTTCTGACCAGACCAGTTCAAGGTCTGGAAAAGGGTGCGTATTACACCCAACACAGATGGGTCAAATGCAGAGGACACCTTTCTCATATGGGGACAATAAAGTGGGACAGTTTGGAATGTTGAACATAGGACCTCATATTTCCTAGTGAGCCATTGTTGGAGACATGTGGAGACACGTTTTTAAATATTCCATCCAGTCCTTGTATTTGCAGAGGTCGCTGGTGCTAAGCTAGTGCATGTCAATGGCCATAGTTAGCCTGCCACTAAAAACAGTCTTACCCACTCCACAAAACACCCAAAACTAATCTATTATTACACCAGACTGTCAATGTAAATGTAAAAGCTCTTGGACATCGGCCAACCGAGTGCGCTATGCATTTTTTCACCCTAATGTAAATGTCTGTGTCAATAGAATAATGTTTGAAACCTTGCATTGCATGAATTGTCGCATGTTGAGGGACTATTTTCTGCCAAAAATTCTATCTTCTATCCAAACTTTCTATCAGAAAGTACAACTCACTGCTGCTGCTCAGACATAAATCCTTCAAATGCAGGGTTGGTTTTACTTCTAAAATTATTCTATCAACACAGACATTCACATCGACAGTCTGGCATTATAATAGATTTGCTTCGGGTGTTTTGTGGAGTGGGTAAGACTGTTTTTAGTGGCAGGCTAACTATGGCCATTGACATGCACTAGCCTAGCACCAGCGACCTCAAGGACTGAATACAAATACAAGGACTGGATGGAATATTTTATAAAGTGTCTCCACACGTCTCTAACACTCTGGCTCACTAGGAAATGAGGTCAGATACACTTTCTCGGTATTTTTGAGTTATAAAACCACCTGTAATTTAATACATGCAAGTTAGAACTGTTTTATATGATATTGTGAAACATGAGAAGCTGAGCAATGACATCTCCATAGAAACAAGAAGGCGACGAACTCCCAACCGAAAAGTTACATAGTGCCCCTTTAACCTTAACATGTTTTACTTTACTTTTATGCAAGTGAAGTTAAGCCAATAATGAATAACTGTATTTATTTTATGTACTAAATGACTAATGTCTATTTAGATCAGTGCTCTGTATTGTCACTCGTAACGCTTTTATGCTTCTCCAAACATTGACCAACGATTTGCCCAGACCTTATTCACACCATCGTAAAACTCTGCAGTCCTTGGCCGCGTCTCATTTCTCTTTCCTCGCTTCCTTCTCCTTGATTCTTCTCCTCGATTCTTCTGGAAATGGGTGAAGAAGTCCCACCCACAGAGGAGACACAGAGTAGAGAGGATATAAACTCTTCACTGAGACCAATAAAGTTTGATTCTTGTATCTGATGTCTGCCTCCTGAAGCCTGACTCATATTTGCTCCTTTATTCCGTGGTTTTCTTTGGTACACCACTTACTATGACACATTTGATTGACAGCTGAAAAATGGAAAAACGAGGAGAGGAATGAAGAAGAAGGAAGCAAGGAAAGAAAAATGAGACACGACTCTTATCTTAGATGTCTAACAAACTGTCCTGAGGTGCTTGCCGTAGCATAAAAACACAGTAAATGATCATTGAGCTGTGTGGGGCTTGGGTACGCAGTGGGGGCCCGGAGGAGGAGAGGAAGAGGGGGGCCCGGGTTTGTGTGCAGTCCAGGTACAGCTCATTTTACAAAGTGGCAGAGTCGTTTGAAGACGTAATGGCTAAAGGGTGAACAAAAGAGCCTCTCTGATGTAATGTAATGTATGGAAATGACTCCAGGCCTCTTCCTCTGTAGCAAACTCTCACCTCTGTGGGTTTTCGTAGGCCCCAGCAACTTAAAACATGTTCACCCGCTTTGTACTGCTCTACTCTCTGCCCCGCTTTTGTTTACTGAAGAGTCTTTTGTAGCTCGTTATGAAGATGAGGTCGTTGCGGCCATCTTTGAAGCAACAATGAACAGGTGATAATATTGTACATGTACTGGAAAAAAATATGTTTTGGTGTTGTGACAGTGATGTATTATTATATTTTTTCATGATTCTACCAATGTTAAACATGCATGCACAAAATTAAGTACCGTATTTTCCAGACTCATCAACTTTAGATCAACTAAATTTTAACAAAACATATATAGGCCGCACCTGAATATACGCCGCAGGTGTCCACGTCTTCAAGAACGTTTTCAAGTTTGGGCCGTCTGCTTTTATCGCCTCTGGTTTTGTCGTCTTTTTGCATTGAGTCAGTTCGTCACCATTGACTCACTGATGCCGAGCTCACGTGCAGCAGCTGTTTCCTTCTTCGACAGCCACATCAATCGCCCTTAACTTAAAAGCTGGATCATCTGCATTTCTTCGTGTGTTTTCCATGAGGATGTGTGTATGAAGCACAAAATAACTGTTCAAAACACAACCAAATGGGCGTCTTCCGCGGCGCATCACTCCTGCACATGTCTCCTGCAGAAAGAGCCTCTGTCCTGTCTGTATCATGTCAGTGTCTTGTAGGATTTCAGCAGATTTCAGACTCTCTCGGGGGCGGGGCTAGTTCTATCAATCAGGTATGAGTGGATGTTTGGTAACTGAAGTTTGAGACGTTTCTTCTTGTCATTTACGCATACGGGTAAGACGTTGTTCATTTAACATTATAACTTATTTTATCACATGGCGATAAACTATTTGAGTGCGTTGACAATATCACTAGCTACTCTAACAACTTCATATTAACCTTAGATCTATGTGTAACCGCACAGACAGCGGTGTTTTCTACACTCAGGCTGCGTGTATCCACTGTGTTGCCAAACCATAGACTGTATATATGAATGGACAATATGCCAAACTATATATTAACCACACCGTTTTATTAGCCGCAGGGTTCAAAGTGCAAGACAAAAGTAATGGCTTATAGTCCAGAATTTACGGTATTCTTTATTTCCTCTTTCTAAGATTTTCAGTTATAAAATGTTGTATTGTATTGGTGATTTTCAGATTCTAAAAAGTGATAGTGTCATAATTCCAGATGTGGACAAGAGACAGATTTTCCCTACTGACAACTACTACTCTTTACTGTGAGATTTCCAGAAGGTGAATAGGGGGCAATATTTTACACTGCGCTTCAATGTAACAGGAGTTTAACAGGGGAACTGGTCAGGGAGGGTCAGCAGATCTGTGTCAGGGCAGTTTGAGGAGACAAAGAGCCAAAAGTGTCCCTCCTCTGTGTCCTGCAGGATCACAGCAGTGTCCAGGGGGAGCCAGGTGAAGACAACAGGAAAGGCCTCACTCTTACTCCACTCCGGTGTTTCGGTTGGTGATGAAATGGTTCATTCTTCAAAGTGTTTCCTCTGGAACATCTACTAACACATAATGTAGAAATTAAAATGTTCTGTTAAGTAATGCAAATTGTTAAATTGGGTTCTGCA